TTGATTATGTTTTTGAGCATATGCCTAACGAGTTCCTTCTCTTGCAAGAGGTCATCTAGGAAAGCAACTACTTGCATAAAATCGTTTAGGCTGGAAGGGACCCTGGTTGCCCAACTCCAGCGTTGGGCTGGGTTGCTCAGGGCACCGTCACGCCAGGTTTTGAGTGTAGGCAAGCAGATTGCACAGCCTCTCTGGACATCCCATTGTTTGACCATCACATGGAGACTTTTTTTTTTTCCTGACATCTAATCTGAATTAGCCTTTTTGCATCTTGAGTCTGTTGCCCTGGTCCTGTCTGTAAGCAATGTTACTGATGGCACAAGAAAACCTTTTTAATTGGCGTTCAAAGGTATAAGTTGATGTAGAAAATGTGCTGTGGGATTACAGAAGAAATGTGTGAAATGTCCCTGTGCTCAGAGGGACATTCGATATGGCAGAGATCAGCTGCATAGAACTTGACTGGAACAGTTACTGTGTTCATTGCTTGCATACAAACCTTGGTGTCTGCAGTCTTACAGAAAGCAAATGCCATGGGTTCCACCCCCTAAAAGTCACTGTGTGAATCCTTTGTTGTCGCTAATGCTCTGGGGAGTTGTGCCTCATCAGCAGTCGTGTCACTAGTTACAACATTTTGAGGTTTGTGTGCCTTTTCCCTGCTCTTGTCCATTGTACTTTGTTATTGAAGTAGTTAAGGTGGTCAAGGCTAGAAAAGGGATGTGTTGTAAGTCTTCAGCTGTGTGAAAATATACGAGGATAGGAACCTGGAGTTGAGGGGAGAGAGGGTAACCAAAAGTCTGGAAGAAAGCTCTCAGCAGTGTTGTTTCTGTACGTAGACCAGCAGTGTGTGCTGTGCTGAGCTACGTGCTGTGCATGGCAGGTTCAGGCTTGCGTTTTGGAAGCAGCGTTGCTGAAGCCGTACTTCTGCCTGAAGTTTTTCTTTTCCGAGAACAAAGAATTTGGGAATCAGATGGGAGCTACTGCAGTAGTCCTCCTCAATCTGCCAAAACTTTCAGTGAAAGTTAGCTAATGATAAGCAAACCATCTCTGGCTTCTGGCATTAATGCTGCTGATCAGCTTGGGCAGGAGATTCGTTTTTGCAAGGGGGAAACAGTAGCTCTGTTGGCATTTGGAGCAGTAAAGGGAGGACTGGCAGGGAAATGGCAGGAGATTGCATGCGGCTGTGGACACAAAAGCAAGTGTAATTGCGAGCCTTGGCAGAGGTCGGTTCATATTGCTCGATGTGTTGGAAAAGCTTTTCTTTAAACAAGGTTTTCAGAGCATCCAAAAAGAATGGGGTGGCAAAATATCAATAACAATTTGTGAACCTAACACCTTTAGGAAAAAAAAGTAGGCTCTACTTCTTTATTTTTATGGCATAAAAATATTTCATTTTTGTCAGTTTGGTATTCAGCTCCAGTTGATGTCTGGGGAGGATCTATAAGGAGCAAGCAAGAGCTGGTGTTTCAGTCAGCTCTTCCTTACAGCGTGGCTGGCTTTGAAAATGTTCCGTGTCCCTTTGGCCGAGTTGGAAGCTGAACCCAAGCAAAGTAGAATGCCCGTTGCGCTGCACCGCAGCTTGAGGTTGTCCGATCGTGTGTTTGTGTCTCTGAAATGCAAGGCTGGGACTGTGTGGTGCAAGACAGCAGGTGTGACTTCCGTAAGAGGTCTGTGGGAGCACAGCCAGAAAGTGAGAGTCATCTGGGAACTGTCTTTAAAGCTTCGTGTCAGCTATTAAGACTGTATCCTAATACTCAGAAGAAAATTGTTCTGAATTTGTTGTAGCTGGTGGGTTTTTCTTTCCTATTCATTGTGCTTTCCTGCTTCTACTTCTCATGCGTGTTCCTCAGGATGACTTCTGCTGGATATCCTCTTCTTTCCCCATCCTGTGTGTTCACTTAAACCAAAATCTAGGAAGCAGTCATAGCATGTGCAGAGATGAGTGTGTCCTCGCGGCCCTGAATCAACACCGGACATCAGGAAGACTCTGCAAAGCATCTCAAAGGAAGCTATAGGCTTACACTACCAGAAAAGTGTTGGTTTTGAGCACAATTAGTGGAATTTGTTCTGCATTACAATGTTTTTAATCGCCTTGGTAATGTATCTCCAGCAAGACTTCCTGATTCTGCTGAGTTTGTCCATTGTGTTCAAATGTGAACATTGTACCGATAGTCCTTGTGGTTTTAATTGCCTGGTTTCCTTTTTTAATAACTTGCATAAAAGGTGAATGTTGAGTGCAGGTGACAAGGAGAGTTTTGCAAACTTCCCAGAGCAACAAATAATTTTAGTCTCCTCTGATCCTCATTG